CTAGAAGGATTCCATGGCGGTGAGGAATGGTGGGGAAGACGGGCTGGAGCGCGCGGTGGCGGGGCAATGGTGGTCGAGGAGGGGGGAAGCGGGAACGGCCACGCGGAAAGTTCCCTCCCGCCAAATCTCGCTGCGATAGGGGGCGAGCTTGGGTCGGCCTCCCAGCCCGTGAATCTAGAGGCTGAGGTCTAACTTTTGCCGCACCTCGCAAAATATTTTACGGGTTGATCGCGTTTGAAGGGTCTGCTCGGGCAGAATATTCCGTGCCAACCAGTATTTTGACGGTTATTTTGCGGGTCGCGGCTATATACGGGGTCTGCTAGAGATGCTCTAAGAGGGCAGCTAGCCCACTCACATTCGTGGCTAGGCATGCAAGGAGGGCAGCTAACCAACTCACATTTGAGCCTTGACTAGCGCGTGGTTCCTAGATATTTCTTCTATAAAAATATGCCTAAAAAAACTAGTTCTCCACGCTTTTTTAAAATATTAATAATAAAGCAAAGGGGCTACAGAGGAAATGGTCCAGATAGCCCGAGCATGGTGGTCAAACCCATCACGGAGGGATGGTACAAACGTGGTGAGCGGGCAGACGTGCGTAACAGGCGGTTTTGCAAAGGTCACTTGGTTGGGTCGCGCTGCCGTCCCCCTATATATTGGTATTCACGTCCTATATATCAATTGTTCATCCGTAAGCTGTAAAATTACCCTTTGGTTAGTTTTTTAGTATAACTCAAATTCAAGGCTGCATTTAGGCCCTGTTGAAGAACCTCCACTTCACAACTCCACTCCCGGAATTGGTGAAGTTGCAGTTGAAAACTGAGGAGCAACTATTTCCTGACTGCACAATTTCTGAAATTTCGTGAAGCTGGTGGAATTTCAAACAGGTCTTTAATTTCTTGATCGAACAGAGACACAAGTATAAAAAACAGGGTTGTTGTTGACACATGCGATCGAAGACGGTACACGATACATCAAACCAAACACTCTGATACTAAATTGATGGTCCTTGATTATCACATGCACACGGCACACCACACACTAAAGAACTAATCAATTATTTTAGCCTACACTAAGATTTGCTCAAATTAAGCAGGCTAGGACCAATGTTGCAGCTTGTGCCATGGCGCGAGCGAGAGGCGCCACGAATGGCCCTCCCATGGCGGATGAGTGCTCCTTGGAGGCCGGCCCTGGCTCCGGAGACGGCGGCGCTTGTGAAGATGATGGTTCCGTCGGGGCCTCTAACGGCGACGATGCTGATGCCGGCGGCCGCTGCTCGGCGTCGAGGACTTTAATTATGAGCTTCTGGCCATCGTTGCAGTGTGCGAGGTTCGAGCTGGCGAAGTAGGTGAAGCCTGGCGCGTCGAGGGGGAAGAGCGTTTTGCCATCCCTCGGCCCGGGGCCGGTGCCGATGCCCGCCGTCTCGTTGCAGTGGTAGTATCCAACCTTGCTCACCTTGATCACCGAGTCGTTCTTGTACACGAACTCTGCATGCATGCATGCATGTCCATTTGCATTCACCGCAGAAAGATTAGGTCGATTTGGTCTACATCTGGCAAATCAATGGAGGACAAGACCTCGCGTGCGTGTGATCAATTAGTACGTACCGACGGAGTCCCCGACGAAGAAGGTTATGCTGGACGCCCACTTGACGTAAAACATCTCCTTGTCCACCTTCGGGGGCACGCACCACCCTTCAGGACCGCCGACCTTGTACTGCTTCCCCTTCGGCGCCGCGGACGCCGTCGGGCAGAGGACGACGAGCACGACGACGAGCGCCGTGAGACGGATCGCCAGAGACGCCGCCGCCGCAGCCGCGGCCATGTCGATCGTATCAAAACCGGTTCACCGCCCGCCGCCCGCCGCCCACCGATGATCTCCGAAGAAGAGGAAGTGGTGTGTACTGTGTCCTACCGGCGCGCGGAGCGAGGAGAACTGATTGGATGATGAGAAATTTATGGGGGTACAACGTTGATCGAGTAGTGCCGATCGAGAAGTGGTAAAACTGATACTAGGGTCGAGGGAGCGTGCATGCATGGCCAACCCAACCGATTGCCAATTGTGGTTAGGTCCACTAGGCGTCGCTCCCGCGCGGACGGAGGTGGAGAACGTGGCGTTGGACTCTCACCAGGCAGTTATTAGCGATGTGTTTGATTCGGAAACGAAGTGGAATGTCATGGTTCTATTCGACTAGAATGGGTCGGTTCCATTCTTATGTTTGGTAGGGCCAATTCAAAGGTATGGCAACTCCAAACACAAACGGACCTGGATTTTATTCGCTTTTTATTCGATTGGGTCGGTAAAATGGACAACGGACAACGGCGGACATGCGCACATGGGCCTAAAGGACAGATACCAAATGTGTCCTACACTCTAAGTGTTACGAGCAGATACTAGAGTGATCCAGGTCCAGATCATTGGACAACAATTAAAAATATTTTAAAGTACCTCAAAAGAACTAAGGAAATGTTCTTAGTATTTGGCGGTGATGAAGTGTCATTGTAAAGTATTACACCGATGCTAGCTTCATGACTGATTTATATGACTTTAGATCTCAATTAGAGTTTGTATTTACACTAAATGGTGGCACAATAAGCTGGAAGAATTCGAAGCAAAGTACTGTGGCGGATTCTACAATAGAGGCATAATATATGGACACTTTGGAAGCCGTGAAGGAGGGCTACTGGATCAAGAAGTTCATCACCGAGCTTGGTGTAGTTCCCAATGCGCTGGACCAGATGCAACTCTATTGCGACAATAATGATGTCGTGGCACAGGCAAGGGAACCAAGGTATCATCAGAGATGCAAACATATTGACCGCTGATTCCACCTAATAAGAGATTTTGTGGAGCGTGGAGACATGAAGATATGCAAGATTCATACGGGTCTGAATGTGTCTAATCCGCTGACAAAGTCTTTACCACGAGAAAAACATGAGCAACACCGGAATGCCATTGGTGTTAGAGAACTTATGTAACTAGATTATTGACTCTAGTGTAAGTGGGAGACTGTTGGAAATATGCCTTTGAGACAATAATGACTATATTATTGTATTTTCATGTTCATTATTAATGTTTCTATGCTAGAAGAGTATTGGTTCATGAATATGAGATCCAGAGGATAACCCAAATACATGTGCCGAAATATAAACACCAAGTATTCCCTAGTCTAGCTGCTAAGACTAGCTCATGTATTGATTAATCATCTTGTTTACCTGATCATGAGCATTGTTAGGAGTAACAAGGATGTTGTCAATAATGAGAACACATTATTTTCCAACTTATGAATTGCTGCGAATTGTTATCGTTGTTATGTTATCAATACGTCATATTACTTGTTCAGTGTTTGCATGCATTGTCCCTTAGACCATGTGAATATTGCATATCAACATGCCGGATGGATAATTTGGGGTTCACCACATGTCACTCCGTAAATGGTTGTGAATACAGGCGACTTACGTGTATTCCGGAAATGTATGTCTCGATAGCAATAGTTCAAGACTGGGATTTGTTCCTCTCACGATAGAGAGATACTCTCCGGGCCCACTCGGTGTTACGGTATCATTATCGTCTGGCCAATCACTTGTGATGGAGATCACGGGATACCGAAACAAAGACACGAGTAAAGAGAACGATACCGGTAATGAGGATAATAGGTATAGTGATCAAGGAGTTGAATCACAAGGATACATAATTATCTCACCTCGGGTTTCATAAAAATATCACAAAGCAAAGGGAATGGTATTCGTAAACAAAGGTTCGCTCGAGAACTTCATGAATATGTGGGAGTTAATAAGAGTGTCCAGATCCCGCTGTTAACTATTGTCCGGAAGGGGTTCCGGGTCATGTCCGCTTATTTCCGAAACTGTAGGGTCACACACTTAACGGGTTAGTCCTGATTGCGGGACAAATGAGAAATGAGTTAAAAGAGCATCGAAACAGGCCCGATTAGTTCCAAAAGTGTTTTGGATGGTTTCAAAACAGTTCTTGGTATTCCGAGAAGGTATAACATGATTTCAGAAAGTCTAGATCTATATATGGAAAGTTATTGGGGTCACCGGAATGGGCTCCGGAGACATCCAGAAAATCAGGATTTTATTTGTGGAAGGAAATTGTGAGGGACCATCATGGGATGACGACCCCTAATGGGACCATGGGGGCCCACAAGGGTACCACAAGGACATGGCATGCCCTAGGCCGAATCCTACTAGGAGGGAAACCCTCCCTTCTCCACCAAGAGAGGGAATTAAGAAGTCGGGGGTTTATTATGCACAACCCGAAGAATTTCCCTCCGTAACTAGCTCCATCAAGCCAATGGTTAGCTGCATTCCTTTCCCGAGCACACTGCACAAATAGTCGCCCTACCGAATGAACTCACCATCTTTCAACATCGTCCATGACAACTGATGCAGATGCTCTGTAATCTGACGGGTCAAGAATAGATGGGACTATCTCCATAGAATCGGACTCCACCACCACTGACAGAATGCCTAGCTCGTCAGTGAGATGCAAACCACCGAGTAGTACATATGCCTCCATAGAAGATGCATCCTTTGCATGTTGTTTATATGAACAACATCCTGCAACGAAGGCTCCTAAACTATCCCATAATGCAGTTGTTGCTCCCGCGCCATCATCAACATGATACCTTGCATCCATATCAGCTTTAGAACACCTGCAGATGGCCTTTCCCATCTTAACTTCCTCATAGGTACCTTGGTTTTTGGTAGCAAAAGCATTTGCAACGACTCCTCATATGCTCATGGTTGTTCGTATCGGATATCCATACTTCTTATCATGGCTGGTTTTCCGACGATTCCATCACAAATACCATGTAGCTACCATAAACAGCTCAACTCCATTTGTGATTGGAATCTGTGCCTCGCCTGCAAGGTTTGAACAGAACAACTTCTCTAGTATGATCAAACCAGCATACTCATGAGCTGCAGCCTCATCGATCATGGGCCCGAACCCTAGTTCCTCCCACACCTCCCTTGCCATTTCACAGGTAAATAACATATGGCGAAGGTCCTCATGAATAGTTTTGCACACTGGACAGATTACAGGGGCTTCATATGATGGTCAGTTAGCGTACAGTAGCACGGAACTATCCCATGTAAAACCCTTCCAATTAAAAACGTGATCTTTATGTGGTACTGTTCTGCCCCAAAATTCTTTCCAAATTGGGTGAGGATCAACCCTCCCCTCGCCTAAGTTCAAACAAGCTTTCGTTTTATGTTCAGTCTTCCTTGTGCTATGGAATGCAGAACAAACAATAAGGTAACCGACTTCAAAAAATGCCATGAGATGAAGTCAGTTTGTCCATGAGACGATAACAGAAATTGTAAGATCCTTTCCGCATCGAACGGAAAAAAATATATTCACACCAACTGCTCGTCCCAATTCTGGGATATTGGATCACCGAGGTCTTGAACTTTCTGCAGAAAACATTGCCCCATAGGGGTCATTACCTCGCGGTCTTCTTGGGATCCACTGATCCGCCAAAATATCAATTGAAGCACAAAACCCTAGTCCTCAAGTCGCCCCTTGTTTCAAAGTTTGCACACCTTCCATGATACTCTGCCATGTGTACAACAAACTTTTCTTCAAGGTAGCATTCATCAAGTCCCCATCCGGGCAATATTTGGCACGCAAAATCTGAGCACATAATCAATTTGCGTTCGATAAGTCTCCAACATTTTTTTGCCAGCATTGCTTTATTGAAAACAATGTAGATCACGGAATCCCATACCTCCATCATTCTTAGGAATGCACATCTTCCACCACGCCTTCTAGTTAATCTTCCTTTTATCATGCGTGTCACCCCACCAATATCTAGCAATGGCATCAAAAGTAGCAGTACAAATATTCTTCGAGATATTGAAAACCGACATGGCGTAAACAACAATAGCCTGTGCCACCGCCTTCAGGAACATTTCTTTCCTGGTGATCAACAACATTTTTTAGATCCACCCATCGATGACCGCACAAACTCCATCAACCAGGTGTTGGAAGCAGTCACTACGGTCAATTCCAACCTTTGATGGTAGGCCAAAATATTTATCCGAGGTAGCCTCTGAAACAATATTAAGTTGTATACAAATATCCGCCCGCGTGTCGGGATTGAAAACACATGGAATTTTGCACCACTTACCAGCTGTCCTAAGCTAGCACAGTACATATCTAGAGCATTTATGAGTGATGTGGCACTCAACGTATCCGCCCTTATCAAGATCAAGGAGTCATTAGAAAATAACATGGGAAACTGATGATTCCCTACGGAACACCATAATATATTGGATACCACTGACCAACCCTTCATGCGCTAGTAGACTGGATAAACCTTCAACACAAAGCTAATCAGAGGCCTCGTATACTTTGAGGCATGATTTTTTTTCAATGGCCATGAGAAAATCTCTGCAGAAGGTAATAGTAAATTATAAGCTAGATTTATTGAATAAAAGGTCAGGAAAGCTGTGCTTGACACCTATTCAGATGTAGCTCCTCGGCCTGATGGGCTACATTTTATGTTTTTTTGAACTTTTTGGGACACTTTTAAAAGTGATCTGATGGCTATGTTTGAATCATGGTATGATCATGATCTGGACATTTCCAGGCTAAATTTGGCCAGGATTACTTTAAGTCCTAAAGATAATGATGCTAAAGAAACAAGGAGATTTAGACCTATTCAGCCTTCTTAATTTCTATTTTAAGATTTTTACTAAATTCCTGACTAACATGCTTGTTTTTTGATTGGTAGATTGATCTCTAAAAACCAAACTGCCTTTATAAGAGGTAGATGCATATTAGAGAGTGTGGTTACT